GGTCACTATTGAGACCAGCTACCAATCAGACCTCATAGAACCGATCAGATATACTATTAAGACCCTCTCCCCATCTAATCCTTCTTTCCTTTATGCCAACTGGCCAAGCACTCATGATTCTAGGGATAGACCCCTACTCCCTCTGTCATCCTCCCACTTTTAATATGCTAGAATGTCAGTTAGACATCGCATGGTCAAAAAGTTCTGTGGGCTGCAGATCGACTCTCCAAATAAGTTATCTTAATGTTCATTCTTTGAAATAATTTAAATTCAAACCCAAAATCCTATTATTTTATTTTATTATTTCAGAGAGAGATATCTGCCAGCTTTAATTCTTTGTTGAATTTCTAATGAACATCTCAACTTTACCTAAGTAACAACTTTTTTTTTTAATGGGAACGGAGAGGCTTGTGACGGACTTCAACACATTAATTTAACTTTAGATTAGGAAACAGGGCTGACGTGGAAAAGGATACGTAAAAGACATTGTTACACATAAAATATGTATTTAACAAGATGTACAATATCAAACAACGTGAATTTAAGTAAGAAAAGGTTTAAATAAACAAGAGTTGTTTCTCTTTAACTGTCATTTTAGTGTTCCAAAGTTCACTGGAAGAATGTTCAATCTCTTGTAATGATTGTTATTGAAAGATATTGCTGTGTAAGAAAAGATTATGTGAGTATATACAAGGTATGTTCAACATGTGAGTGGTGTGTTGAGTGAGAAGGTTGGCGCATGTTTCAACTGTCGTGGATTCGTTTAGCAGCTGAAATCTCACTAATTAGCTAAGAAACATTCTTGCTTAAATAAGTGTCTGTAAGCTCCAGATCGCTGCGCGGGAAGAATTATTCTTCACGTGCAGACGATCTGATTGGTTGGCATTGGCCAATCAGCGAGCGAGCTTTGGGGAGACTTAAGAAAGCTTTTGTGATCCGTTTCTCTCAAAAGTGCACAAAACTGACTACATAAAAATAGAACGATTACAAAATTGTCGCTTTGCTGCGATTTGTAAATTGTCTATAATAACGTAGAGGTGATTAATTAACCAATGAATGCTTGGCGTTGTATGTGATTTGTATTTTTGTATGTATGAATCTTCGTGCGTAATAGATCCGCACAGGGTTAACTATCACCCGGCCCATACTCCTCGCACTTCTCTAGAACAGGAGTAGAGGTTCATCCCTTGTTTCCTGTTTAAGAAGGAGTTCCCAGTTCCTGCCGTTTTCTCAGGCCTTAATAGTGGTGCTGTCATGAATCTTTTGTGATATGTGTGGCTAGTGGCTACGTCTCTTTATATTGATGGTACCGGGTTGGCAGTTTTTTCGTTGCTCTTCCCCATTTGTAGTTTAGAGCCAAGACTTTATAGTAGCGTCCTGAGAGGCTGCTCTGATCAACAGTCACATAATATCTGGGTCCTTGCAGTGCCATGTCGAGGTTTGAAGGGTGTCCCTAAAAGCAACCACGAGGCCTCAGTATGTTTCAGTCTGCACAATTTTCCTTCCCGCACATGTTACATTAGACGACTGACTGCTAATACGACCCTAGGCCTATCCTTAACAAAACAACACACTATAACTATAAGCAACCAAAGATATAAAACTACACCAACTCAACAAAAATAACCTAAACCTCTCAACTTTTCCTTCTCCAATATCTATGGTATCCGTACCAACTTCTGGAATGTGGAACCCTCCCTCTTCGAAAAGTATCCGAAGATCCTAGCTCTTAACACTTCAATCCCCTCTTCTAATTTCTCGATTTCTGGCAATATTTCTGCTAATATCTCCCACCGGCTAAAGAACTTTCTTTTGAATCTTCAGACAAATCTTACATGTGTCTCCCTCTCTCTCTCTCTACTAAACTCAGTCAGTTATCTCTTCTTTCTCTACCGTTCTCCCTTCCTCTCATGACTGTTGCTTGCTAGATAGTGTTTAATATAGACAAGGCCATCTCCCTACACCAGTTTCCGTCCTGGGTACGACGATAAACTACATCCGCGTCCCGGGTATGACGATAAACTACATCCGCGTCCCGGGTATGACGATAAACTACATCCGCGTCCCGGGTATGACGATAAACTACATCCGCGTCCCGGGTATGACGATAAACTACATCCGCGTCCCGGGTATGACGATAAACAACATCCGCGTCCTGGGTATGACGATAAACTACGTCCAACAGCAAGGCCTCTGATAATACGTTTTTGAAAATAATAAAGTTGCCAGCTGTGCGTTTTTGAAAAAATATTACCAGCTATACGTTTTTTTTTTGAAAGAATAGTGTTGCCGGCTATACGTTTTTGAAAAATAATATTACCACCTATACGTTTTTGAGGAAAAATATTAACAGAAATAGATTTTTGACAAAACAAAAATATTAAAAAAAATAAGTCTTCGACATTAAATGACCCATTGAGGTTGCCGTAAAACAAAACAAACCAAACCAAACGTACACCCGTTTGCAGATATATTTGTGTTTGGTGGCTTTAATGACCACAATACCAGGTGGCTTAAACACTCTGTTACTGACCTCGCTGGCATCCAAACCCTGAACTTAATTACTCATTTTTTTACACAAGGAGTGGACTTCCCACACATTTCCCCGGTGACCCTGACGGACATGCTTCTCTTCTAGTTCTCTTTTTCAACTCTGTCCCTGACTCATGTAGTACTATGCAGCTCTGCCTTTTTTCAACTCAACTGAATCCAACTCCTCTTCCCCCACTAGCCAAGAACGAGTGGGATGGGATTCGTTCCGTGATTTTCTTGGTGATGACCCTAGAAATGAAGTTTTTAATCATCCTGTTCAAAAATACTCGTCTAAGGTCTGCTCGTGGAGAATACCTTCTAGATTATTTCCCAAGATACATCTGAACAGCTCAATTTCTTTTCAGCATTTATATATATCGGATCTACAATGGAATACTTTTAGTCAAGTTTCAAGCTTTTCTTTGTCAATCACTGGATATGCTTCAGTGGTCAGTACTATTTCTTCTGTAGGTATTTCATTATTAAATCTAGTGAAGCTTTTCGCGATAAACAATTTAGCAGCGACTAAGTGTTTAGTCGAAGAAAATCTGTCCATTATATCAACACATGCAGTTACGCACTTCCTTTGATTCTGCTGTCTTTGAAAGATTCTTGAAAGACGAAAGAAAAATTAATTAACGGACGAGTTTCTTAATTTTAAAACAGCAGTTTTGAAATCTGTTATATATTTATTGATATTAAACACACTAATTTCTTGATGCAAAATCTCTAAACAAAAGCTGAAATTATCATCATTCACGTATTGTAAAATTCCTGCCGCTTCAGCAATGGCTTCTACTGAGCTTGACGATGACTCAATTTCAGTAATGCAGCTTTTTAAAGATTGCAAGCTTTCATGAACTTTGTCCACAGTCTCTATGTTAAAGTTCCACCTTTTAGAGTAATGTAATGAATATGCATACACCTGGTCCCCCCCCTCACAGTAATATGATTGGCTGGTGTCAGCCATAAATACAGACTGATGTGGAGGTACAGGGACGACGACGCCCATTGGCTACACCTACTGTCTTCGCCTATTGCCTACGCCTATTGCCTACCACTACGACGAGGACCAGTCCATTACGGTTACCTGCTAGATTGTTCTACTCAGTTACAGTAGTCCAAAACCACTTTGCTACTTCGAACAAATATATCCCTTTCCGGGACAATATCATAAAGGATGGACGTGGAATACTAAAGTCCATCTACACGTTGTGCTGATCATTAAAAAAAATGTTGGAATAGCCAAAGTGTTTTTTTTTTTAAGCATTTCACGCCAAGCAAAGCGGGAGTGCCACTAGCACGCAAGGGGTTACAGAGGTTAGAGAACAAGAGCAAAGAGATATATTTAGGGAGAGGATAAAGAGAAGGACGGGGAAACAAGATCAAGGTATCAGAAGATGTCGATTGACATTACACTTGATTATTTGAAGATTAGAGTTATCAGGGAAGTAAGTAGGAGGAAAAGAATTCCATAGACGAGAAGTGCGAGAGAAGAAGCTGTTGGAGTAGGAGACGGTTACATTTAACCGTTTTGGCAGTGAAAGAAGTGGGACCGAGATGCCAACCTAGTAGCTCGCTTAAATTCATGCAGTCTGGAAACCAGCACAAGCAATTCGTCGGAACAGTTGCCGTGAAAATACTTATAGAAGAGACAAAGGGAAGCTACGGCACGTCTGTGGGAAAGCGTCTGTAGACTAGATGCCAGATCAGGACCTATCATATTGCATATCCTTCTCTGGATTTTGTCGAGGACCTCGAGACTTACAGCGGGGGCACTGACATTTTCACCATCATCATGAGATATCAGTTTTTATGCATTTCCTTCAAAGATTATCTCGAATTGTTCTAGAATACGTTTTGATATGGTATCTCCTCGTAATAACCCTGGATGTACTAATCCTCGAAATACCCCTGAATTTACTAATCCTCAAAATACCCCAGGATTTACTAATCCTCGAAGTACCCCTGGATTTACTAATCCTCGAAATACCCCTAGATTTACTAATCCTCGAAAGACCCCTAGATGTACTAATCCTCGAAATATCCCTGGATTTACTAATCCTCGTAATTCACCTGAATGTACTGATCCTCTAAATACCCCGGTATTTACTAATCCTCGAAGTACCCCTGGATTTACTAATCATCTAAATACCCCTGAATTTTCTAATCCTCGAAATACTCCTGGATTTACTAATCCTCGACATACCCCTGGATTTACTAATTCTCTAAATACCCCTGGATTTATTAATCCTCTAAATACCCCTAGATTTACTAATCCTCGAAGTACCCTTGGATTTACTAATCCTCGAAATACCTCTGAATTTACTAATCCTCGAAATACCCCAGGATTTACTAAATCATTTTTTATCATATATGGCAGTTTCAAAGTTTCCACAAAATAAAATAGGGTTTATTATCTTGGATAAAATGTCGGGGTCCTTTTTTTTCTATTTTAGCTTGAACCTTTCATTGAAAGTCTGTATGCATCACTAAATTTCTTCTTAATATTTACGTTTCCTAAAGTCACATTTTCAATATGCTTCTTTCACTTTTCATGTTTGTCAGTTTTTCTTTCATTTTATTTATATTTTTAAATCCGTCTTTTGCCCACGTTATATTACCTCCAAACAGCAAACATGAGAAGCAAAACAATGAATTTTTCACTTGCATAGCCAACTGTTCTGTTATATTTACCAGCCTGCCCACGAGGTAGGATGTGACACAAGGCAGAGTTTAATGTGGGAAAATCCGAGCCCGTAGGCTCGGCCAAAGATTCCCTATAGACCCCGTATGAAACGGAGTCGAGTAGCTGTTTCCCGAGACAAGACTCTACCCTTCGACATAGCCTCGTCTGGGGATCCTCTCCATCCGCAGGCAGAGAGTTTGACCAGCACAGCCGAACAGATCTGTTCGACTGTTCCAAGCCAACTTTTCTGTTTAGAATTAAAACTACGACTATACCTCTTTTTTTGTTTCTTATTCTTGGCTGGGATATTTGAATATCAGGTGTTGAACGACCTCTTTTCTTAAATATAACTTTCTCATCAAGAGACAACTGTGAAAACTAAAGCTTCCGAAGCCCACTCACTATCACAGATGTTATATTATGGCTATTCAAGCAGGTCATAGTTAAATTATTAAAATTTTCTATATAATAAAACAACCAGAAAAAAAAAATCAATGAATTAAATAGAATAATTTGAATCATGATAATCATCTACAGTATATCACATTCAAGAATATGGTACCCAATGCAGTACGCTGAGTAAAGAAGAAAAAACTTACACTCGGACAATAGGATCGGCACTGTGTGAGCGAAAAGTAGAATGTCTAATTAGCTCCAGTTTCTTTCAATGACATGTGCGAAAACAAGTAAAATGTCTAACTAGCTCCAGTTTCTTTTTTGTAAATTGACATTAACTGACATCAAACATGCGTACAAGAAAAATTAAAGAAAAATGTCATTATTGAATAAATAACGAGTAAAAATAGAGGATCTTGCATTTCCTGTTCATATTAATATATTTATTTGCTTAAGAGTCTGTATACATCTATCTATTTCTGTCTCTTCGTATATATCTATCAATCTCACTTTTTCATAATCTATCTATCTATATATCTATATCTATCTCTCTCTTTCTCTCTCTCTCTCTCTCTATATATATATATATATATATATATATGTATCTGTCTCTCCATATCTATTTGTCTCAATCTCTTCATTTCTATCTAAATAAACTTCTTATATCTATCTATCTATCTATCTATCTATCTATCTATCTATCTATCTATCTATCTATTCAGTCTGTTTATATTTATCTCTCGATCTCTCTCCATATATATATATATATATATATATATATATATATATATATATATATATATATATATATATATATATATATATATATATTATATATATATATATATATATATTTATCTTATCTATCTGTTCATTTATCTGTCATATCCATCCATTTATCTATATATCTATCTCAGACTGTTAATATCTGTCTATCTCAGTCTCTATCTATCTATGTGCCTATCTATCTATCTATCTATCTATCTATCTATCTATCTATCTCTCTCTCTATCTCTCTCTCTATATATATATATATATATATATATATATATATATATATATATCAACATGAGACCCAGTCATATAAATCACTCTATCTCAATTTGTTCAAAATCTATCTGTCTGTTTATCTATCTTTCTATCAGGCACTGCATATCTATCAATCTATCTCAATTTGTTCATGATATATTTATCTATCTTAGTTTGTGCATTATCTGTCTCAGACTATTCAGATCTATCTCTCTATCAATCTATCAATCTATCAATTCATCTATCTATCTTAGTATGTACATCATCTATCTCTCTATCTCAGTCTATTGAGATGTATCTATCTACATATCTATCTCAATTTGTTCATAATCTATCTATCTATCTATCTATCTATCTGTCACAGTCTGTTCGTTATCTATCTATCTATCCAGCTTTCCATTGTTTTCACTTATTTTTCTTCCTCCCGTTAATCTACGCCAAGTATGTCAATCATCTACGTATTCCTTTCTATGACATATCTCTCTTTCGTTCTCTGTCTCTCTCTGTCTCTCTCTCTCTCTCTGTCTCTGTCTCTCTCTCTCTCTCTCTCTCTCTCTTCCTTTCCCTCTCTTTCTTTCTCTCTGTCTTACCTTCATCCTAATTTTTGCTAAGCATTCTACCATTGGCTGATCAGTCATTGAATATTTCCATATAAGGAAATGACTAATATTAATATTGCGCTTTCACTTCCTCTAGCTTCCTTACTCTTTCCATTACCCAGTCTTACGCTAATTTTCGCTAAGTCTGTTAATCGGTACTTCCTTTCGATTACACACTCTGTGTGTGTGTCTCTCTCTCTCTCTCTCTCTCTCTCTCTCTCTCTCTCTCTCACTTTCTCTTTGCTCGTCTTATAAACGTTTGCACGCATGCGTAGATATTTACGCTGATCGGTTTATTGTGTGACAAGACCACAATAATGAGACACTCACCACGAATTGAAATCACTACAAAAGACAGACTTGTAAACCATTGTTCTCCAACAAACGTAAAATAAAATTCTCTCTGTCGGAGGAGCCTTGAATATGCTTATGTGTTTCCCCTGTAGAGATACAACTGTAAATGGTTAAGTGCATACGGACTCAAATATAAACGACAAATGTTTACCTATCCCCAAACCATGTAAATGCTTTTAGACCCAAGTATTTTCACGTCCCTGAGCAAGGTAAATACTTACACGTTGTCATCGACTTTATCTCGTATTCACACCTTTAGTTTTTTCTTTGCTGGTCGCTTCCTTTATTATGTTTGTGTTGGGGACTACATTCACTGCTGACATGCAGTTTCAGGACTAGAAGCTTCAAAATTGACTAAAACCTTCTCCCATCATCCATTCCCTATCGCTGTTTGAGTGAAGGAAAAAATCTGAATTGAAAAACAGCATGGTTGATTCGAAAATCCACCTCGCATGTGGTCTTAAAGAAAGGAACTGTCCCCACCTCTTGACTTACTTTGAGCCACGACAGAAAATAATGGACTCTTTGAGCTTAGTACAATGGTTCTAAGAAACACGGCACATCGTTGCGGACCTCTCTGATTTCAAACGATTCACCCATCCGTGTATCACATACGGCGTTTTTTTACGGCGTCGTCGGCTTTATCTCGTATCCAAGAAGTTAATTTCTTCTTTGCTTCGTTTATGATGATAGCGTTGATGACTAAATTCGCCGCCAACGTTCAGATTCAGGGCTAAAAGATTCCAGTTTCTCCAAAATCTGTCCCTTCCTTGTCGTCGTTTGGCTCTGCAAGAACTTTTTTATTTACTGAATGTAGGTATTTGTGTTCACTAGAAAGATCCATGAAAGTTACACGGATTTCAGCTTTGGAATTTTTTAAAAAATTTTTCTTTATTTAAGGATTGAAAACGTTTCCTGTGATTCGGCGTCGTCAGTTTTATTTCGTATTCAAGAATTTTTTTTTCTTTGCTGATCGCTTCCTTTATAATGACGGTGTTGATGACTAAATTCGCCGCTCACGTGCAGATTTAGGGCTAGAATCTTCTAGTTTCACTAAAAGCCTGCCTCTGTCATCCATCCCCATTCGCCGTTTTGGCGAGTTGATTGGTTGGTGAGGAATGAAAATTAGATTAGAAAAAACTGCCGATGATGTGAATTTGTTTAAGATTGACCTCAACTAGCCAGGAAGTAACCCACTCACTTGATTTCATGATTTTCTTCTCCGGCACATTCTATAGAATGAGATATGGAGAATCCAGTTATGAAACTGCTACGGACTGCCGATGACTCTGTTATAATTTCGACTGACGCCTTCTGTAGTATATCCGTCATGCGTAGCCCTCTTCATCCGCTAGTTCAACCGTCGAGATTAAGTAATGCTGACGAACTCTGATATAAACAAACAATATTTACTCATCCCCGAAAAAGCTTACAAACTCAAATATAAACGTCCAGAATGTAAATGCTTACAGATTGAGATATAAAAGATCAGTAGTTACTGCTATAATGCTTGTTGTATTCATATGCAAATCTCTACCATATAAATAGCAGTTGATACAGCTGAAGACTAAACTAGTGCTAACCTTAAAGACGAAACTACCAAGAAACAGTAGTGAATACTTTTAACTAATTATCGTTTACAGCATTCTATTCACAAGTATTTCTCAAGTAGTTTCGTCTTCAAGGTTAGGCTTCGTTTAGCCTCCAGCTGTATCAACTGCTTATTTATAATGGTGGAAATTTGCATATGAATCCTACATTCTGCCCCACATTCTTTTTTGACAGTATAAATTTGTAATACTTTATTTCGGTAAAAGAAATGAAATGCAGTTTCAAAAAAACTTAACCAAACTTTTTGTTAGTGTTGAATACTGAGACATTTACGTTTTTTGGTGATACACTTAGAGCAACATACAAGATTTCGGGAGACATTTTTTTCAGTGTTTGGCCTAAGAGATTTTCAGGTTCCCTTTAGCTGAATCACTGAACACTGGTTGCATTACAGTATCTTCTGATTTTGGTATGCTATTTCCAGCCAAATCCGGTACAAAGCTATTTGAGACAAAATTAACTGCTTCAGGCTTGGAGATTGTCGTTCCCTCCCCAGCAAGAGTCAGATGACATAGAGAAACTACTTTCTTTTCTATTTGGTAAGCTAACAAAGCATAATCGGTATTCGCCTGAATCTGCTTGTATAGTAGCTTCATACTTCTTATGCTGAACATAGTTTCTCATGAGCACTTTCCTAGGAATTGTCAACTATGAAATAAAGAGATTTTTAGATTTTCTTGGATAAGAAAACATCCATTCATGAGAAATATAATTCATGGCTGTACACTAACGAATGAATCATTGTACGGCTACAGTAAGTATCTGACCCCCCACACACACTTCTATAGCCTTCAAAAACGTCTGCGTGGTTTTATCGGTGATGAATTATTTTCAACCCTACAATCCCCTTCCACGGGTCTCTTGCTACTCTATCGCTATTTCCATGGCATGTGTTCTGGCGACCTACATTCCTTGGCCGCATCCCCCTCACCTTTACCTTTCGAACTCCCCACCATACCACGTACACAAAGGTGAATCATCTCCATATTCCTTTCGTATTCCATTTGTAAGAAATAAGTTCCATTTGGACAGATTCTTCCCAAGAACTGCTGTTTTATAGAACAGAGACTCCTGGCAGGATGTTTTCCCAGTCACTTCAATGTTGACCACTTCAAGTTTCAACGGTTTATTTTCTGCCTAACCCAATGATCATCAATGCTTGCTTTTTCTTATGCACATACATCATACAGTAATCCTCTACTTGAGTGGCGCTTGGGCTTTCTATTGGGTAAACATTAGTATAAAAAAGTAATCATATCAAGTAATTTGCAAAACCAGGTCGGTTATTATTTAGCTGTGAAAAGTAATCGTTTCAACCGAACAGCCTGTCAAGTGAAAATGGCGTTGCGCAATTTATGTATTTGCACCAATCTTTGGAAGCGAAGGGAATTGCGACAACAATTAAGATAAGTTCTTAGTTTTGTTCTTTTCAATCGAAAATGGCTAAACATTAATGGGAATATTTTTCTTTGAAGACAGCAGACGATCGATCAGAGTAGAATATCGCAAAGAACTGTAAAACACGAATGTACTTACTTGAATTTCTTTTGGAAAGATTCTCCGACATAATGCAACCGTGAATTGGGCAATGTGTCAGACGAACATTACTTATTTATAACAGCCATCTTTATTCATTTCGTTTGCATTTATATTCGTCGATGTCATGTTACTTTAATTCAATTATAAATTTCATCTTTTCATCAAATACATGCATACAATATATATATATATATATATATATATATATATATATATATATATATATATATATATATATATATATTTACATTAATCGGACTATTGTCCTCATCTTTGTCGCCATATTTATTACAAGGTTTCGGGCCGTTGTATGCTCCTGAGTTCTTGAGTTGTTTGGAATGTCGAATTGAACCCTTTATTTCGCTCACTGGTGTAGACTGTCCTAGTTCCACGTGCCATGTCTAATACATGGCAGCTATCAGTTATCTGCTATTAATTAGGTCTATATTACCCAGAAATTCATACACAGATGCCCTCAAGGCACAAGATACGTGGCACAGTGGATAAAGACGTTAGCTAGATCCAGTGACTGGACACAAAGTGTGTGAGTTCAATACCTGGTTAAGGCGGTGGAGAACTTGGAGAGGGTAATTAACAGTCTACCCCAATAAGCGAAATAAAGGGTTCAGTTCGACATTCCAACCACCTGAAGAAGGCCGAAACGTTGTAATAAATGTGGCAACAAAATGAGGACAGGAGTCCGAATAATGTAAATAGTGTACACAATACCTCATCTCAGAAATATATATATATATATATATATATATATATATATATATATATTTCGCGGACCTATGTAAAGTACCAGGTTGAGAACTGGCGCGAGCTAGCTGCCCTTGATAAGGGTGAAAGGAGTCTCTCTGAGGTTTGGTTAGCAATCCTTTTACTGTTTGTTACACGATAAAAAGACTTCAGATGGGAAGGAAAACTCATGACAGCTTAACCCGGTCATTATATTGCATGTCTCTGCCGAGAGGCGTGTACTGGCTGGTATTGACTCTGAATCGGAGAGGTTAAACTCCGCGATAATAACGCACAAGGACAGTCGTTCGGAGTTTCCGTGGCAAGTCTTTAGCCAACGGCTTAGTGATAGAATCCCCGACTGACGCCAATTCAGTTTGATTTCAATCCTAGCTAGAGGCAACCTGACGTCTAGCCACACTGATAAGCTGTAATACAGCCAAACAGTCTGTCTGTATTTGGATGACTATATATATATATATATATATATATATATATATATATATATATATATATATGAGATAACAATATATATTTTTATATTTCAAGAAAAAATATTGAGTAAAAAGTGGAAAAGGTTTTCATGTGACGCGTTTCGACATTTAGGAGTTCATCAGACTGAATTTAAATGTCTTCAACTGATCCTTGAAGCGTCGTTTTGAGCTTCCACGTAACTTCTTGCTTACTCCTGAAGGACCATGAACAGGAATCACAGAGGAGTGTGGGTAGTTAACGCGGCCCTCCTGACAGCACATCTGAAGATTCTCTTCATGCTGACGGTTAGTTTCGAATGTCTCGCTTGGATAATGCCAGGAAGGTCGATTTTTCCGAGTCTGAGGAGGCAAGTCGTGTGAATTTGAATTTGGTGAACAACTCTTCGCGTCGGAGAAGCCAACACACTTTGGCTAGAAACACCTCCCTCGCGACTCCAATTGACACCCATACGAAAGTCTAGATTTGACTATTTATTTATGTATTTCTAGAGAGGTTCAGTTAGTGTTTTGGTTTTG